AGTTAAGCATCAACCCGAGGTCTAGTGTGAAGACTTTCGAGTTAGATATTTTGGTATGAGGCCTAATTAGTCTGATAAAACGTGAAACCAAGACCAGGTTGGACTTGGTCTATTGGGTTATTGGTAAAACCGATAATTTGAGCTAAACCCGACGGGTCAGCTCGAACTTGCCCAAAAAAAATTAGGGTCAAACTTAACTAAATGAGTTTTTTTAAGAGAGTAGGATACTTCAAGCCCGACCTGAATAAGCCCTGTTCGAATTGAGCCTGACCATTGAAATTTATAACTCTATATGTATATAAAATTTGTAATTTTGTTCAAGCCTGACGAGTTAGCCCAAACCATTCAAAAAAAAGTAAGCTGGGCTTGACTATATGGGCTTTTTAAGAGGGCAGGATACTTTAAATCCAATCAAAATAAGCTCGACCGAAATAAATTCAGCCTGCTCGAATTACCGACTCTATTTACTGGACCATTCACCAATTTTTTTGGCCAGTAACTCCTTCATCCCTTTCATTGCACCTCATCCCCACTAATAATATCACTCTCCTTCTTTATGCTTTCTTCCTTCTCTCACCTTTCAATTGAAATCTAATAACCAAATCTGCTTGGCAAAGCCAAGAACAAAAATCAAAAAAAAGACCTTCTGACCAATAAATCAAATTAGAACTATAAGTTAAAAAGAAAATAGAACAATGAGAAGCTCTAGATTGAGCACAGTGAAAAAAAAAACCCACCACCATAAATAAATACAAAAGTTTGAGATGTTTAGATCTAGGAAGAGGAGAACAGTACCAAAGATGCGACGGGGGGGAGAAAAATATAGGAATGGTCGATGGAGTGTAGCAACAATGAAGGGTTGCAACAATGTGCCGATGTCGAAGTGAGAGTGGAGAGGAGCGATGGCTAAAGCTTGAATGGAGGTGGAGCATTACAGTCATTGGACGACCAAAGCTTGAAGATGATCGAAGAGCAGCAGCACCCAAAAGTCAAAGTCAAAGGAGGAGGATTGGAGAGCGTTGAGCAAAATGAAAGAAACACTAAAGGGGCAATGCTTTCTAATAAATTACATATATTTTTAAAAAATTAATCACCTGGACCAAACTAGACCAAGTAGTCTCAAATATCGATCTTGAACCTAGTCTTACCTGTTAGTTCGATTTGACACAATTAGCTTGGTCTTCTTTTCTAGCTATTGTTTAGGGACCGAGTCAAACCAGGTCTTGCTAAACTGGACTGGGCAAACTAGGATTTAGATTTTTTTATAGCCATACCTCTAATATATGAACAACTATGCAAAATCAATCAAATTAACAAAAATATTTTAAATTACAATTCTAATTTTTTTTAATACAATTCTAAACTATTGGAAGCCAAAGCTTGAATGGAGGTGGAGCATTATCAGTCATTGGATGGCCAAAGCTTGAAGACGATTAGAGAGCAGCGGCACCCAAAAGTCGATGTCAAAGGAGGAGGATTAGAGAGCGTCAAGCAAAATAAAGAAAACATTGAAGAGGCAGTGCTTTCTAATAAATTGCATATATATTTTTTTTTTAAAAAAATTAACCACATGAATTGAACTAGACTAAGTAGTCTCAAATATCATCTTGAACCCAATATTACCCGATAGTTCAGTCTGGCCAATTAGTTTGGTCCTTTTTTCCACTATTTTTTGGGGCCGAGTCTTATCAGGTTGGATTAGGGCAAACTAAGGCTTTAAATTTCTTGTACAACAACCTTACCTCTAATAGATGGACAACTATGTAAAATTAATAAAATTGACGAAAATCTTTTTAATTATAGTTCTAATTTTTTTACAACAATTCTGAACTATTTAAGTCAAATTTTAATGAGTTAAATTTATTTATTAAAATAATAATTCTATAATATTATTTATTATTATTATAATAACTTTGTGATTTAAGAAAAGAAAAAGGGAAAAATTGACTCTAAAATGACAATGTTATGGTATTGAGCATGATAAGCACCGAAACAAATCCCAGCATATCCCTCTCAACCATTGTTTTAAGACCCAGACTGAGCCGGATGGTCGAACCAGTTAAATCGTCACTCAAAAAGAAAACAATCTAGTTCAACTATTTGGCTCGTTCTAACAGTTGATCTAAGTTGGCCCACTTGACTTAGGCAGTTCTTGAAGACTCAGAGCAAAAAACCTGAAATCCCGAAATGGTTGAACCATTTTGACCCGTTTTTTAATATATATGTATATACATATTATTCTTCATGTAATTATTATATCACTGATTCAACCATCGGTCTAACTAATTAAATCATGAGACCTGTGATCCACTTATTTTTCCAATTTGTTATTTAGTGCGGTTTTTAAAACATTGCTCTCTCAACAATCAAGCTATAAAGTATAAAATAAATAAAAAAATTACACTAAGTTCTTACAAGTCCTAATTGATGTGACTCATTCTCAAACCCCATGTGCCACTGAAGCCACATTTTTTTGGCCAGCATTAGTTTTACTAATAATGCCAATTTGTCAGATGCATGCTGATAAATTTTAGAAAAGCAAATAAAGATTTGATATTCTTGTTGGGATAATCGCATCACACTAATCCAGAAATGAACTTCCAAATTGGGTGAAGGATCAGTTATGTTGGAATCAGTTACCAAATTGGGAAATGACAGCACATGAGGAAAGATCAAAGTCCTAATTTACTCTAAAGCTAAATAACTAACCCTAACAGCAAAAAAAAAAAAAATCCTAATTTGTCCAACTTCTCCTTAACCCTTTCTTACTTTTCCTTTTAGAGATTCCAACAATAAAACCAATATTTTTTTTCACCAACATAACATCAACATTTTCAGAGGCCAATTCTTATTTTTAATGATTTTATTCAATTTTTAATGCCATCCTTATGATTTAACATTTTTAATTAAATGGATAAAATTTTACAACTTACTATTATATTTTCTCAGTGTTACATTAAATTTTGTGAAAGTAACTGTCATGTTTACATTGATGTTTATTCTTTCATCTTCATAATATAGGATATTTTCTTAGAATTTTGTTTAGTCTAAAATATAGTGTTTTGGTAATTTTGTAATTTTTTCAACTATACCCTCGCTTTATTCATTATTCTTTTTAAAAAAATGATCCATTAAAATTTTAATTGTCATTATTAGGGTATTTATATAGGATCTTTATTGAATGTATAATTAGAAAAATGTATAACCTTTTTAAAAAAAATTAAGATTTCAACTAACCTTTTTGAAAGTTATAAAACAGTTGCTCATGTTTCATATTGTAGACCAAAGAGAGTATATAATAAAAGGAGCAATAAGATAAAATTATTCATATATGATATGTCACTTGTTAAATGGCTAAGGTGAATTGACTCGAATTAACTCACAAAGCAATTTTTTTTTCTTTTTTAACATTTGCATGAACTGAAACTCAACTTCATAAACTTTTTTATCTAAATAGCCATATATAGCCTACCTCACTAAGAGCAACATTATATGTTTTTAAATAACAATTATATTAAAAAAAAAAAGAGCCTAGCTCCTGGTTTCTGGAAAAAAAAATATTTTCTAGAATAGACTGATGGAAATGTATATGCTAAAACTTAATTCAGGAAAAGAAAAATGATATATTGAAGAATGGCATTATGGTAAAGGGAAAACCGTGAAGGTGAAGTGAAGCCTTGGAGACATTCATAGAATTGAAGTGTAACTTTTCTTTTTGTTTCTCTCTCTCTCTCTCTCTCCCCCCCCTTTTTTCTTTTTATGAGATAGATGAGTAGCAGTGCGCTTTTGCTTTTAAGGGATGAACTTTCTACGTAATCATTACTCAGCAATAATCCCTAAATATGCTGCATCACTCCACTTTTCTCACTTCTCTCAGTTCGCTTTCCTATTTGGATGATTCTCCTCTTTTTCTTAACTAAATGTTTCTTCATGCTTTAGTCTTGTTTTCCTCCCATTGTACCTGTCTCGTCCAACTTGACTTGTGCTTCAAAATTAAAGAAGAGTTTCTCGTTGTTACACTTTTTTAATGGTCATTGATTTGGGCACATCCAAACTTTTCTATTATTGTTGTGATCCAACATGATTTATTTGGGGTTTGATTTATATTCAGCCTTCCTTTGTTTTGGTGTGTATGATTTGGGATAAAGAAAGAACGGAGAGGGAATCTAAAAAATAAAAGATTTTTAAATATAAGAAGTAAGATTTGCCCGTTGTAAGCAGAAAATATTTTCTACAAGAATTTCTAACTATTTGTTTAAATGACTGAGAGTCTCTATTACTCATGCTAACTTTAATTAGTTAAAAATAAAAGGTTTTAATTTGAGCTTTTGCACCATTTTGATAAAAGAAGCTTCCCACAGTCATTGCGATCTGATAAATTCTTACATAGATATAATATATCATGCCATCCATCTTCCATCTAATAAAAATATAACATTCTTCCTTAACAATATACTACTCCCTTCTCCTATTTTACTCCTTCCTTTCATTTTGAGGGGTTAAATGTTAAAAATATAAGACATTTTTAGCATTTCAAAGTGTATTTAATATATTTTTTTTCAAAAGCATTCATAATAAATAAATAACTTTATATTTATTTTAGAGTGAAATACCTTATTAAATAAGGATAAATATAAAAAGATGGCATTAGTTTAAAAATAATTAACTATTTTATTGGAGTAAAATTTTATTAAATATTTTATATTTTTTAAAGAAGGAAATATAAAGTCACTTCTAGTTATTTTACCAGAAAAAGAATAGTAATTGAATTATTAATATGTGGAAAAAAAATTTCTCAAAACCCAAAACAAATTTATTTGTGGGTTTTATTTGGGTCAGATCAAAGCCCAAAACATTTCGCCTCAGATTGAAGCGAGCCTAGAAAACAGCCCAGCTTAGGTTCATGACCTCGGCGAAATTCGGAGACCCAGTAGAGTCGCCGCCGAGCAGAGGAACCACTTGAACGTTTCCGATTCACCGAAGCAATGGCAGTACTTCCATGTCAAGCCCTGCAACTACAAGCTCCTTTTGCCTCCTTCCCTCTCTGTGCTTATAGGAAGTCTTCTTTCAAGTATAGTGCGTTTGCACTTGACTGTGCGGGCGTGTCTACGATTATTTCTCCTTTGCTTTCTCTGCAGCTCTCTCTGGATGTGTCTCTTTTGGTTCTTTTGTAATCCTAAGTTTCATTCTTTGAAGGAATATGCAGTAATAAAAACCAGAAATCCATGTAAGTGTCAGCTGGGGTAAAAATGCCTTGGCGAACATGTTTCAAACGTCACCTGGTTTTGTTTCCAATCACTGCTAGTCGAGGATTAAGTAATCTTTCTATCCAGCACAAGGGACCCAAGTCGTTGTCTCACAAATGGAGTGGCCAAACAGCCATCCAAGGATTGAACTTTGTCTCAGACAAGCTTTGTTCTTCTAATTTTGTGACGCAACTTGAAGCCTGCATTCAATCCAATCTCTGTCCGAGGGTAAGAAAATACATGAACATATCCTTAAACGCAATGGCTTTATTAAGGATTTCACTATCCTTGGAAAGCTAACCCATCTGTATATTATATGTAATGAGATTGAACTTGCTCGTCAAGTGTTTGATAAAATTCCAAAGCCGAGTGTTATTTTTGTGGAATATGATGATCAGAGCTTACGCTTGGAATGGACCATTTGAAAAGGCCATTGATCTGTACTATGAGATGCTGAAACTGAGAGTAAGACCATCCAAATTCACGTTCCCTTTCGTTATCAAAGCCTGTTCAGGCCTACAAGCAATGGAAATTGGGAGAGAAATACATGAGCATGCAGAGAAACTAGGTCTTGAATCGGACATTTATATTTCTACTGCCTTGGTTGACCTCTATGCCAAATGTGGGGATTTGGATGAAGCCCAAAGATTGTTTAATAGCATGTCCCACAGGGATATTGTTGCATGGAATGCCATAATTGCGGGGTTCTCACTTCATGGACTTTATGATGAAATGATACAAATAGTTGTCCAGATGCAGCAAGCAGGAATAATTCCCAACTCTTCAACTATCGTTGCAGTTCTACCTACAGTTGGTCAAGCTAATGCACTACGCCAAGGGAAGGCTATCCATGGTTACTCTGTTAGGAAGATCTTCAGCAATGATGTCGTTGTTTCAACTGGACTTCTGGATATGTATTCAAAGTGCCGTCACATATCCTATGCAAGGAATATCTTCGATATGATAAGTGAAAAAAATGAGATATGCTGGAGTGCTATGATTGGAGGATATGCCACATGTGATTCCATGAAGGAGGCATTGGTGCTGTACGATGAGATGGTATTCAAAAATAAGATGAACCCTACACCTGTTACACTTGCAAGCATATTACGAGCTTGTGCAAACCTCACTGATTTGGTTAAGGGAAAACACTTGCATTGTTATACAACGAAATCAGGGTTGGATTTAGATGCAACAGTTGGAAACTCACTAATTTCTATGTATGCAAAATGTGGAATTTTGGATGATGCAATTAGGTTTTTTAATGAAATGATCTCAAAGGATAAGGTTTCTTACAGTGCTATTATATCTGGATGTGTCCAAAATGGTTCTGCAGAGATGGCTTTGCTTATTTTTCGCCAGATGCAGTTATCTGGCATTGACTCAGATGTGGCGACTATGGTGGGTCTCCTTCCAGCTTGTTCACATTTAGCAGCACTACAACATGGGACCTGCTGCCATGGCTACTCGGTTGTTTGTGGATTCACAGCTTACATCTCCATTTGTAATGCCATTATTGACATGTACTCAAAGTGTGGAAACATTTATATTAGTAGGGAAGTATTTGACAGGATGCCAAGGCAGGATATTGTATCATGGAATACAATGATAATTGGTTATGGCATGCATGGGCTAGGCACAGAAGCACTTTCATTATTCCATGAATTTCAGGCATCAGGTTTAAAGCCAGATGACGTGACCCTCCTTGCTGTTTTATCTGCCTGTGGCCATTCAGGACTTGTCATGGAAGGAAAATATTGGTTTAATGCCATGACCCAAGACTTAAACATGAAGCCAAGGTTGGCACATTATAACTGCATGGTTGACCTTCTGGCCCGAGCAGGACATTTGGATGAGGCATATACCTTCATTCAAAGGATGCCATTTGAACCTGATGTTCGTGTTTGGGGTGCATTGCTTGCTGCATGTAGGATCCATAAAATATTGAAATGGGTGAAGAAGTATCAAAGAAGATCCAGTTGCTGGGACCTGAATGTACTGGAAATTTTGTCCTTATGTCAAACATATATTCATCTGTAGGGAGATGGGATGATGCAGCACGCCTTAGAATCATGCAAAGGGATCAAGGTTACAAGAAAAGTCCAGGATGCAGTTGGATTGAGGTCTCTGGAGTAATCCATGGATTTATTGGTGGAGATCAATCCCATCCACAATCAGCATCCATTAATAGAAAGTTGGAGGAACTTCTGGTGCAGATGAAAAAATTTGGATACCGTGCAGATTATAGTTCTTCCCTTCATGATGTTGAAGAGGAGGAGAAGGAACAGAATCTCCTTTGTCACAGTGAAAAATTAGCCATTGCATTTGGAATTCTTAATATTAACCCTAGGAGGCCTATAGTAGTTACAAAGAATCTTCGAATTTGTGTTGACTGCCACACTGCAATAAAATTTATGACCCTTATAACGGAGAGGGAAATAATAGTTAGAGATGCAACTAGATTTCATCATTTTAATAGCGGAATCTGCAACTGCCAGGATTTCTGGTAAGGAACGGTAATAGAAGTGTAAGTCATAGGTCTTGTCAGAACCACAGATTGCCAAGCACCCACCTACTGCTTGAACCCAGGTAATATTTCTTTCCTTCAACAACTGTTTTGTAAGTTTTACTTTTTGCAGCCATCGCCACAGTGGACAATGTGAAAATATTTTTGTATTACATTACTGAAGAAGAATAGAAGATGTGAGTGAGAGAAGCATTTAGAAACCTAGTTCTCATTTATGCACCAAAAACAACTACGTATTTGCAACCTAGAAGTAGAGAGGAACTCAATATTAGAGAAGGAATTATGGGGACACTTGTGGCCTTTGGCAGAGATATAGAAACAACACATCAGCAGCAAGTTGTTTTTAGCGCTCCTACAATTGGTGGAATCAAATCTTTACAATTTTTTTCTGCCAACATCCACTCTGAACGCAAAACCCTCTGAAGTACATTCAAATTTGGTTTACAGGTAAATTGTTTATTCTTTTTCTTCTGTTTCTTTTTCAGGCTGTCATTATTTTCGTTGGGTTTGCATTGATTGTGCTTGGCTGGTGTTTTCAATCAAAGTGGCTTATTTCCTCTCAGTTCTTTCCCAACATAATGCTACTGTAGTTGATCAATGTCATATAAATGAGAAACAGCTGATGATGAACTAAGATGAATTTTTTGTCTATCCTTGGGTCTATTTGTCTGTACTCTATTTGTTTCATTTTGACTGCAACTCCTTGATTGACCTGTTTCTCTCTTCTCTCTGATATATTTGAACTCCCTTATAGACTTTTGTGCAGGTGCTTGTTTTATATCATCGTACAAGAATATCACTGTGAACAGCACAGGTTGTGTTCAACCGCCTAATCTCTTCTGTGCACCCTATCATTAGCATAGGTTTCTTTGCCTGATGCCATCAACAGTAACTGAATTGTTCCATAATGAATGATTCATTCGCAGAAATAAGACTGTCCCAGTCGACCTTAGAAAATCCAAGTTTTTTAGATTCCTGGGTCTATTTAGTCTTCTGAAATGGAGCTTAGCATCCGAGATATAAGCATGTTTTCCCAGCCCATGCTAATGGCACAGTTTTTAATTTGTGAATTTTATCTCGTGTCTATAAGCAAGGGGCATGGCCATGAAGCAGTCCAATGTTGGTCCACTTCCGCTTTGCTTTTCGTCATTGAGGGAATAATTGTGAGCCTTCTTGCTACCCAAGAGAACAAATCAAGATCTGGCTGCAGCCACAACTGTTATGGGTAACTCTTCTTAAAGCTGTCGATGGGTGAATATTGTTGAATAAAAATAAAATAATAAATCCAATACATGTAATGTGTTCCGTTGTTGAACGTTAACACTCAGTTTTCACTCAATTTCATACTATGATAACGCTTGGTAATCTAAATTAAATTATAAAAATTGCAAATTCCTTGAAAATGAATCTGATTTGTTTAATAGATCCAATATAATCGTTGAGGTGACACTTCATGTTTATCACATAGTATATTTGCTGGAAATATTTGATAGAAAATTGAAAGCAATAATTGAATGTCAATTTGTATGTACTCGGATTTATGATTCCTGAACCACCCAAAATTCTAGTTTGTGTACTGTGTAGATCTTAACGGGATGTCTCAGATGTGCCGGCCTATAAATGTAAAATTTTGCACTAAGAAGCACTGATATGAGTACGAGTATCGGATATGATATGATATGATATGTGGACGCAGCAATTTTTCAAAATATTAAGATACGGGTACGATTATATAAATAATTAAATATTAAATATTTAGATGTCCAAAAATACAATTTCAAGATGTCTAATGCTGTCATAAAATATAATACAAAAGTAGTTAAGCACTTAAACACTATTAAGTGGCAAAAGATAATTATCAACTTAAAATAATTTTAATATTTTTCATTTTTATTGACAGTACCACTTTCTCCTATAAGTTTTTTTTTCAAAATTGGCTCATCTAGAGTTAAACTTGCAACTTCAAAATTTCAGCATCATCTATTTTCCAACAATCTCCACTAATATCTTACAATTTTCTTTCTTCAATGAAATATTTCTTACTCTTTCTTGAAAGAAGATGAAGATTTGAATGAACAAAAACTAAATTTTGTTGCTTTTTTTTTTGTAGCATTGGTTTCTCTTTAGTGAATGAATAAAAGAATAAGTGTTCCAATTTCTCTCACAACAAGATGATGAGCATGATTGATTGAGAAATTTTAATGCGATCCCTTAAAGTTTAGGAGTATCAACACCATGATTGCTCTACCAAACTTTAGGCTCTAATATCCATCTATCTTGTATGGAATCAACAAAAGAGAACTCATCTGAACACATTTGAACATCCAGAAAACTTTAAAAATTCATTCATAACGAATATCCTCTCTTCTTCATGTAGAAATATCCTTCTAAAGTACTTTTTCCTCTTAGTTGATATTTCAGCATCTTTATGCGGAGAGACTCTATTGGTCCACTTTCAAGCCATTGTGTTATATAATACCTATAATAATATAATAACATCAATGGGAGTTGTGATGTAAAAATAGTAAAGAAAAGAATTTCATGATCAAAAATAAGAATAACACACCTAGGATTTAGTCAGTGGGCAAGACAATGTAGTGGAGTGGCACTCTTTGTCCATCGATCAATGATGATATTGTAAACAACTTCATAAAATGAAGAGTACTCAAAAAATGATTTTCTCTCATGCTTATAAATTGATTCCTTAATTTGCTCTATCATTGAATCCCACATCTCATAAATCAAATAAAGTTTGAGTCTATCTATGTCAGAAAATCTCAGCATATCATAAATTGGTTTAGTAAAAGAGAGAATATAATCAACCTGCTCCCACCAAAGATCATTAAGAGTTATGTCTTTCACAGTAGTAGCCTTTCCAACATCATCATCTCTATAAGCATTCCATTCTTCACTAATAATCAGTGTACGAAGAGAAGTTTTAATAAGTTTAAATCTCTTCAACATCACAATTGTTGATGTAAATCTTGTTTCGGCTATTGCAAGCAACTTTAATGGCACAAATTCATTAAATATGGCCAATCTCATAAATGATTCATGATAAATGTTCAGATGAAGAGTGCATCATCCCTCACCTTAGTGATCCAATGGCATTCTCCATATATAATTTCATTTGCCTTTATATTTTTTGCTTTACATATATTCTTCAAGGCAAGATTAAGTGTATGCATCACACATAGTGTCTAAAAGATGTGAGGATATTCATCTTCCACCATCTTACCAACAGATTTACAAACAGGTGTATTATCAGTTATTACTTAAACAACTTTATAAGGCCCCACTTCTTCAACCACTTTCTTTATTAAGTCAACCATTAAAATATGTTTTTATACTCATTAGTTGTATCAATTGCCTTAAAAAAACATGGATTCCATCACTTACAGCCATAAAATTAACGGCCTTCTTTGTACATTTGTCCAACCATCTGTAACTATACTTACCCCCTTATGATTCTAAGTCCCTTTGATTGATTCAAGTTGCCTTTCAACATTGGCCCTTTCTTTTTACAACAAAGTGGATCTTAGTGCATTATAACCAGGAGGTTTAAAACTAAGAATTATATTGTTGGCAGCATATTGAAATGCACTAATAAAATATGAATTACGTGCCAAATTGAAAGACAAGCCAGCCGAATAAAACATTCTAGCAATCTTAACAGTTAAATTATCTATGGCTCCTTATTGGAAAACTCTTTCTATTGTATTTGTTGCCCTCCTTTTTCCTTGATTGTGTTCATTTTGAGTAGGGGTAAAACCCCTTTGACATCAAGGGGACAAGCTCTCAATTAGAGTTGGCAATGGCACATGTCTTGTTTTTGTTCTATTCTTAGCCTCCTCTTAAGCTTTTCGCATTTCATCTAAACAACTATCTTCAACTTTTAAGCATATAACAATATCCTTTCCAGTAATCCTCAACAAATGAAATTTAACTCTAGAATAAGAGCCATTATATTAGTTATTACAATAATTATACTTTCAACATCTATTCCCACCTTCTCCTTCATTTTTTTGAGGAACCAAAGTTACATAAGCCCATAAAGGAGTACTATCTTTGTGTCTTTCATTACTAGATTGAAACTGAGAATTCACACTTCCTGAACTACTACTGGGTTTAAAATTAGAAGCCATTGTGAATTTAATTTCTATGGAAAAATTGTAAACAATTTTCTACAATTTTAACATGAAGAGAGCTAATAAAAATTTAAAATAAATCAATATTTAACTCAGCAAAATAATCCATCTAAATAAAAAAATAAAATTAGTAATTCAGCATTAAATTAGAAAAACTGATCAAGTAGCTCTGCCTCTCTCAATTCAGCAGTGACTAGTGACCATTGAACAATAAGTATCCAGCACCAGCAGTAATACCAACCAGTAAGCATTAAACATTGATTTAAAAGAAGTAAGAGATAGAGAGCCTCGGGTGGAGCTCATACGGCAAAGATGAACTCACTAAGGCTAAAGATTGAAGCCCGAAGACTAAAGAGATAGAGATGCTGAGGTAAAGCTCAGACAGTGAGGCAGTGAGCAAAGTGAAAAGTGAAAACGCCAACAGATCGATTGAAGAAGCACCGTTGAAGAAAGATGATGGTCGACGAGGCAACAAGCGATAGAGCGGCAAACACGAGAAAGGGGTCAACTGGAGCTGGAAATCTTAGGGCATTAGGTTTCTAGAGTTGGGATTGAATAAAAAGAAGTAAAAAAATATAGAGTTCAGTATTTACCCATGTTGGCCATTTTCATGTATCGATGCTTTTGAGATTCTGCATCTTATTTTGTAACCATTAACCAGTCACCCTAAGGACTAAGGAGCACTCACACGAAGTGTGGTTGATCTCTAGACTGGTAATGTTCTAAAAAAGTTAGGAAGGTAATTTGTTGAAGAGAAAATTAATCAATTGGCCCTAATAGTTTACATCAATTTTTGAATAGGGATCTAGATTAAAAAATTTTAAATTCATCCCCATTGTCTAAAATGTCGATAAACTGGTCCCTGTAAAATCCAAAATTTACACTGTATTTGGATATTTCAAAAAAGTAAATGTATCTGTATCTGGTATGATACTTTTAGAATACTTTTACACATGTATTTTATATTCTAACAATTGTAATATGATTGTTTTTTTAATAATTTTTTACTATATTATTTAAAAACCTGAAAAAAACACTTAACATTTTAGTTGATTGCTATAAATGTCTTTATATTACTTTAAAAATTCTTGTGTAAAAATCAAAATACATATACCTATATCATAAAATGTGAAAATATATATTATAAATATTTCTATACTCATATCTTAAAATTTTAAAAATTTGTCATATCGTTGTATCATGCTGTATTATATTGGATACTTTTACCTATAATTATGCAACTAGATCCAAATGAAATGGCGTGGTGAAATGTTTAATTGATTTGGAACACGCACAAGTCAATGACAAGGAAAATTTTTGCACTCTCAGAAGGTTAGATAGACAGACAGTCAGACAGTGGAGGGAGGGAGGGAGGGAGGGAGACACACTTCCACGTTGAAACAAAATAGAGCCGATGCTGCCATAAGAAGGTAACAAGCGCTCTATATTTAGCGAATGCAGGAGACTCGAAAAGAAAGAGGTTTGAGTTGCAATTTGCGAAGCCCTCAACCGACTTCCATAAAGTGCAATGAAATAGTTGGCCAAAAAAAAAAGTGCAATGAAATAACCATGATATTGTAGTCCACCATGTGCAATATGACATGCAGAAGTCATTCATATGAACCAGGAAGGCTTCATGCTCTCACATAAGCCCATGCATTCAGTGATATGGTTCTTCTTTTCTCACAGGATAATGATGTGGTTTTTAGATCTTCACATTTTTTGCCATATCTGCAGTAATTAATGCTGTCTGAGCTAGCTGGACTGGTGGGAGTGAATTGAAAATTTTAATTTATAAGGACCACATCTTTAAACTATGAGTTCCAAACTAGCTAACCAGCTATTTGCCCCCCTTTCTGGTAGAGCTTTTTAGTATTATTTGATGACAAGGCAGCATCATCTGTAGTAGTTTGTGGCAGAAAAGACACGTGGAGGAACTTTCTTAAGAGAAGTCAATGATATATGAAGTGAATTATTGATTCATTATGTGTTTGTTATAGGAGCTTAATGGGATGATGCGGGAAACTTTTTTAAAGGATCAAATCAACCGCAGAGTTATGAAAATTAAAAAGTTCACGTTATATCACAAATGAAGATGTGGTAGTAAGTAGAAAACTAGATCTATTTTTTCTTTGTATCGCTCTGTGCTTTGGAAATAAAAGGGTATTAACACCACCGATC